TTTTATCTTTGATAATATAGATTTATTTTTTCAAGCATGTGGATGCTTGAGACTTCTCATTTGTCTTATAACTTACATTTTACAATGGCTCCAAACATGGATGGGTTTCTATTCAACACATAAATTTTTAATGATGTAAAAATTATGAAACTAACATGCATATTAATAAACAATGTAAGGTCTCATCTTCCCCTCTTAAGCACTACATATCATTGTTTACTTACCATTAAATCAAAGTCTTTCTAACTTCAGTCAGAGCTACAATGACTTTATTATTGTGGATTTCCCCTAAAATGTTAGGTATGCTGCTTTTAGTTTTTGCCTTCTTTTCGGTTTGATTTAGCTTTCTATATGAAATGCCACTCGAACCATGACTGTGAGTTAGTTTGTTTCTTTTTAAGGACACTCTAAACATATACTTTGTTTCATTATATCATTGAATACACTCAAGTAAATGGAAAAGACAATTTTGTATCGTATACTGAAGATTGATTATGCATGTATGATGTAAAACAACTCTTATCATTGTTCTTCTTAGACATTTTTATATAGATATGACTTTGTTTGAAAATATGTATTTATGTTAGTGTAGTTGGACGTTATTTGTCATACATTAAATACTTTCCTATATTATTCATGGAGAACTTACCAAATTAAATAGTTACTTCAATCCTCAACAACATGAACCATAAAAAAAATATACCTCAATGTTTACTACACGTATACATGAAAATCAAACTCTCCCGGCCAAGAGGCCGGGCCCTAATCTAGTTAAAAGAAGATAGATATAACTACATTAATTGATCATTAACTAACTTTTTTGGTTGTAAAAAGTGTACACCATGGCACCTTGTAAATTCGCCAAATGCTTATGTGGCAACAAACTACTTTTGAATTGCCATAATATTATGTATAGATAGATAGATAGATAGATAGATAGATAGATAGATATATTGCCAAATTTTCACTCCTTGAACGCTAAAAATCTTCAATAACTTTAAACAATCATAACTTTGTGCTCCAAAATCCGAACGTCATGATTTTTTTTCATTTCGCATAACTTTTTAAGAACTACAATTTTTACTAGGAATGAATTTTCAAAACAGGAATTATTTTTGGATATACAGAGTTTTGGGAATAGCTTACCTTCCCTTTTCACAAATCCACGTACATTTAGAAATTCTGTCTATGATAAAAGTTATAGTCTTTAAAAAGTTATGCAAAATGAAAAAACAATTCATGATGTTCGGATTTTGGAGCACAAATTTATGGTCGTCCAAAGTTTGTCGAAATCGGAAAAACGCTCGTTCGGGGTAGCAAATATAGGTGTCAATCGAGCGTGTTCGAGGCGTTCGGGCTGGCTTCAATCGGGTTCGGGTTCAAACGGGTTGTGGGTTAGTCGGGTTGCAGGTTCATCGAGTTCGCGTTCAAACGTGTTGCGGGTTCGGGTTCAATCGGGTTGCGGGCAAATCGGGTTACGGGTTCATTGGGTTTTGGGTCGGGCGGGTTGCGGGCAAATCGGGTTGCGTGTTGTTCGGGTCAGTGCATCGAGTAACTTACTCATTACTCGTTACCAACTTACACATTTTATTACATTAACTTAAAATATTTTTCTCAACTTTTTAATCAATTTCTTTCTACCTCGTATATATATATATTTAATTAAAAAAACTAGTCAAAATGTTGAATCAATTTGTATGACTTGCAAACTTTTTATGTAATTATTCATAATTGGTAAAGTATACTAGCTAATAGCAATGGTGATATCAACATTCGCAACCAAAAGACACCATTAATTGTTTATTTAATATTTTAGTATCATTTCAGTAGTATTTGGATTAAAGTATCTCGTTTAGTATAACCATGCAAATCTAGTATTTGGTGTGTGGTGTGTGGTATTTGACAAAAGCAGAGTGATAAAATGAGTTAGTTCAAAATAATTCATTCTCCAAATAACTTCATTAAACTGTTGCCAAACAAGCTATTTGTAAAATTGTACGAATTATCCTAAAAATTGAACCATTAAAAACTAACTATCAAATTTATTAAAATTATTGTGACTTCAACCATAACTTACTCAATAACATATATCCTATACACTTAGCCTTACCCTCAATCGACAATATTAAGTTAGTATATGTTGTTGATCGTATACTCTAAACCATCAATACATTATACACTAACCAAGTAACCACATACCCTACACCCTAACCATATATCCTTATGAGTTGTGATTTGCTAGTATAGTTAATTTAAATGTGAAATTCATACTTTGATTTTCAAAACACAGATGAAAAAGTGATATTTGCTAATTGTTATACCCTAACCATATATCCTATACTCTACACCATATACCTTGTACCCTAACCATGTACCATAAACATAAATTAAAAAGGGATCTCCTGCCGTTAAAGGCTTCAAATGACTTCAAGTGAAAATATGTTAATAAAAAACTTAGAACCGTCAAAATCGTCAATACCATATACCCTAACCATATACATCCTAAACCATTTGTACCTTATACACTATACCCTAATCATATACCCTAAACAACGAACCTTCAAAGATTACTTATCAAGTTTAGTAAAATTGTTGGCTCATTTTCACCTGCCCATAAATTTTCCATTCCAAAAGTTCCCACCCAAACCCCCCTCTCATTTACCATTCCAAAGTGACCCGCAAGGCCGCAACCCGATTAACCAAAATTTTCAAACCCGCAACCTGACTGAGTTATTGCAATCGTATGACTTAACATGCCAAGTTTAACTCTCATTTTGAAATAAAAGTTCAACACGAACACAACTTAAATGTGCCAAAGTTTTACTAAGTGTTGTACAACAACGATCATTTAGTGTTGAAGTTACAATAAATGTAGAGGCATAGAAAACAAGTAGATAAATTAAGTGATATGTAAAAAAAATGATTGTTTAACTAATGGTTAATTTAGTTATTAGCCCATAAATAATTATATATAGTTATGTCTTCGGTGCACTCACTTTTTTGGGTGCATTCAATGCGCCTGCCTCATAGTCGTCATTCTGAGCAGGCAATTCAAGTGAAAACGATGTCAATCATCACCTGTGGTATGATGAACAAGAACCACATGAATTTGTACAAAAATCATTTAAGATTCACTTTAATTTGAATGATTCAGGGTTTAGGAATTTAGGGTTAGGGCTTACAATTTGGGATTTTGGGTTGAGATTCAAAATTGAAGGTTAATAGGTTAGGGTAATGGGTTGATTAGTTGGGATTCTATGTTATATCATCATATTAGACTAATACAACCCATTAAATTTCAAAATTTAACGTATTATGACCACTTTTAGAGGTGGGTGCACTGAATGCACTCAAAAAGTGAGTACACCGAAGTAGCCACCATATATATATATATATGGTGGCTACTTCGTGCACTCACAAAAATGAGTGCGTTCAATGCAACCAACTCAAAACTAGTCTTAAGGTGTCGGATTTTGAATGTTAATTTGTAGAATCAGTGTAATATGATGATATAACTTATGATAACAACTAATTAGCGGATTACCCTAAGCGCTATACCTCCAATTTTGAGTTCTTCCAGTTCCCAACTTGTCATTCCATAAAGGTTAAATACTTGTCCAATGTATTTAAGAAATTTATTGAAGTTAATAGAGCCAAGACATCATATATCATCATCACAACAATTAGTTTGATGATGTCCAGTATACAGAAGCATATCATAATTATCCAAAACTCAAACTACTACAATTTTGGCATAGCTAACCATATTTTAAACCTCTATTCCAGACTCCAGTATGCAGAAGCATATCATAATTGATCATGTCCAATCCTTACAAATTGCCAGAGTCATAGCTTGGATCTTGTCCATAATCAATTTCCCCTTCTAAAGATGGCATCTCATCATCAAAGTGCATACACGCTTCACCATCAGTAAGCAACTTAATGCCCTGCATTCTTAGTGATTTTACCCGCAAACCAAAGACTCCTTCAACGCTTGGAAACTTGATCTGGATGAGCTACCTGTACAAACTACAAATATCAGTTTTTGTCCTTGAGAATTCTTGCTTGGGAGAGTTAGCTGGAGTTAAAGGTGGTATCCTTAATGTATCATTGCGACCTTTGCTATCAAAGTAGATGAATCAAGGAGGAAGTTCATCGATTACACAGAATGGTGGTATACTAGTAGCCACCCCAAGCCACAGTCATAAAGCAACAAAAATTACTTTGAATTCAATGATTTCACCACAAACCTCTTTCAAAGTGTTCTTTCAAAGAGGTCGGCTATACCTTAATGCGCCCAGGTGTTCCAACCACTATATCCAGCCCTCTTTTTAAACTGGATTCTTGGGGGTTGTAAGGAGAACCAACAGTATAAGCAGCAAGATGTCAAACCCAATGACTCGCCATAGACCTTTAAGTCCTCAAAAACCTGAAATTAGAGGCAGGGGAATCAGTAAAGTACTCTATTACATGAGCTTAGATCACTGCAACCAACTGCCATAAGCACAATCAACTTGGCACCCATTATTATATATTATTATATTATATTATATATAGAACATGAAAGCTGGGTACACTTTATTGGCCTAACATAACATCTCTACTACTGTTTCATTCTTTGGCGTCTTGTGGGCTAGGACTAAAAGAGTTTATTCATCCGAATGTGTTGCCCAATCATCCGAAAAGAGCTTCCCCTTTCCTGTGTCAGCTATGTGGTCTCAACAATTGCAGGGTGCCCATACTGCCTGTGTCCTCTATCCCATCTCTGTCCTCTCACAATTATTCCTATTGTAGGGTGTCCATACTTTTTTTGTCCACTATCCCTTCTCCCTCCTCTTACAACTGCTCCTACACGCCACTGACCATGATTTCCACAGTACTCACCTTACTTCTCTGAATTAAGAGAAGATTTATGTTGCTTTTGCTACCAAACCTCTTCTTCCACCCATTTATCCAAAAAAGAGACGCTGCTGCTTTTTGTTTCATGCTCTCAGTCTCACATGGAGCGCCAGCGAGGTGGGGGAACGGCGAGGGCCATGATACGACCATCAAAGCAGTCGCAGTCAACCTTCAACAGTCCACCTAAAGTTGGATCCAACGACACTTCGTCTCCTGCATGATCGATCTCGGTCTCCCAAATGCAAATTTCCCTATGGATGACTCCGACAAAGATGACAATGATGACGAGAAAACGACCGCGACGATGACAGAGATGATGATGATGATGATGATGATGATGCCGGAGACGCCACCAGTTCGTTTCTCTGGCAGCACTCCACTCTCCCTCTTCGAGGTTCAGAAATAGAAGCTCTGATGTGGAAGATCACAACGAGGAGAAAAACGTAGACGGTGGCGAGGGCATCGGGATCTATACGGGTTGCACTTCATACGGTCGTATCCCGTTTTGCTTTCCTGGACTTTTGTTTCCTCTCTTTTCCATATCTTCGCGGCTAGAGTCTTCAATGGTCTGATGGCTATTTGATGGATTCAGTTGTGGGCGCAGTTGGTTGCTGACCATCAGTGTGGGACATACACGGATAGACAAAAAGAGGGGCGACATGCCAAGGAAAAGGCAGCAACAGCAAGATTGTACTTTTGATGGCAGTAGCAGCCTGGGTTCTACAGCTCAACATCAACTCTCAAGCCTCATTCTGTAAGTGGGCCTGAAGATGTTGACCGGAACAACTGGCCTACACTATCAAGACCAGAAACGGATTGCTTTCTTATAGATTTTGACTTGAATCAGTGATTAGTATATGTGGGAAGGTAGCAGGAAAGGAAGTTTTGAGCTTTAACGAGTTGTTGATGAATGAGTTGCTGAATTGGAGGATCATTAGTGATGGAATGTCCAACTTGGTTGCTTTCTTATATAGATTTCATAATCTTGAATAAGTGATTAGTATATGGTGGGAAGGTAGCAGAAAAGAAAGTTTTTAGCTTGAACGAGTTGTTGATGAATGAGCTGTTGAAATTGGACGAGATTATTGGTGATGGAGATGTCAAATTACAGAGGAAATTGCAAGCAAGAAGTGTTCAGATTAGTTCCAGGAGACCGGGAACAAGAATGGCCTGAAAGGTGTTAATCTTCTTTTCTTCCCAGATGGATTGAAAGGTGCTTTCTTCTTTACTGATTTTCTTGATATGCTCGGTGATTCTCTTTCTTTTATTGATTTTCTTGATATGATCAATGATTTATTTAGTATTCACATTCTATGAGATGTAGTGTGCTTGCCTTACCTATTGTTTGTTTCAGTTAAACAAAATCACTATCATTGCTCCTTGGTACGAGGTCCGAGAGGAGTTGCAGGATCTCTTTGCCGTTCAGAGCTTTAGAACCTTTTCCAAATTGATTTGTGATCTCTCATCTCTAGACCTTTCATATTACATATAAACTAATTATATTTACCATCATTTGCTTTTACAGGTCGGGACCTGTAATATAAGCATGTTTTTGCTGTTGCTACAACGTCATTTCTTCGGAAGGTAATTCATTCACTACACAACCATCTGGGAACTGCAGTGCTACTGCTAGATTCGAGAAACTCGATTCTCCTACATAGTCATTTTATTTTACCTTCTTTTGTGTTTTTATGGGAGGAGGCGTAGAAGTGAAGTACTCATATGGTAAAGGTTGATAAGAACAAGAAATAACATAAAGAAACTGGTGTGAACAAGAACAGGTTCAGTTGGAAGGTAAAGACATTGTTTATGGTTATAGCAAAGACCAACGTGTTGAATTTATTGTTTTGTCCGTAGAATGTGAACTAAAAGTTTTGCCAACAAGTTCAATTGGAAGTTAAAGACAATATCAACAGCTGATGGGATAGCTTTATCTTGCTGTTCTTCATGTTCTACATACAATTGAAGACATGAAAGAACTGGAATCTAGATTCAAAGGACAGTAACCCTTACAAGATGCGAACTCCACTCACTTAATGTGCTTTTGTGAACCATTTTCATGAATTTGTTTCTCAATTTATGTGTTTGTAAATCCATGTCTAAATGCCAAATTAAATTAAATGGATTGGTGTTTGAATGTCAACCCTTTTCGTGAATTCATGTTGTTCCTTCCCCTGGTGTTACTCTAGATCAGTTTGTAATTGTTTCTTAGTCGCCTTTTCAATGTTTTATGTGATCTCTAATTACTTACAACTTCTCTTCGTTCGCACATCATGTAAGAAACACACCACCACCAATCAGGTTTTGAATGAATCCTACCAAAAAGATGGTAAGTTATAAGATTCTTCACTTTTCAGAACCCATATTAAGTTTTCTTTATATGATTTGCTGTGAAAAGTCATTATCTGAATGGTACTGAATTTCTATTACTCTTTGACTTGCTAATTATGTGTGTAGATGATTCCAGGATAATGCCCTTCGAAAATTCATCAGAATGGATCAAGAGCTTCTCCACCAGTAAGGAACATTAAGGAGCTGCTATTGTTTCTCATCCTCATTGGTCATCAAGATTGTGTAACTGATAGACAAATTAGTAAACCGGTTGATTAGTAAGCTGAGTCCTCTTTCCTGACGATCGCACAGTCACATATGCTTTTCACGCCCACACGCAACTCAATTGTTTGGCTTTAAATACTCATTTTAAAATTATTTTCCCTCTGGTTTGCCGGTACCATTTCAATTGACATTTTAGTCTCATTTTCTTAAGTTCCTCTACATTCAAGCTTCTTCCAGTAAGGCTCTTTCTCTACAATTGATGGAAGGGTTTCCCTTGTCATTATAGTTCACAAGATCCAGGAAATTATGTCTATAGTTGATGTTTGATTAATAAGCTTAACTCCAGTAAACTGAGTTATTTTTTCAATTCCCCTTCCCAACACCAGTCTTTACACTTTTCCTAAATAAAATTTCAAGTTACTTTGTCATCATGGGTTCATGTGTTTAACGGTAGATTTCTGAAGCATAATGTATATGAATGTGCTATTTGTTGACTGGAAAAACAAAAGAGTGTAACAACTTTTCCCCTTTGATCGGCCTTCTGCCGTCGAAGGATCTCGGCTATCCTAGCGGGATTTCTCCGCCATTTGGCCTCCTATCGGCGGCGAATTCATCCGCGGCGCTCCTCGCCGTTGGATTTCTCTTTCTTTTCTTGAGTTTCTTGGTAGGTTCGTAGTTTCCATGGCTACTGAAGCAGGGAAGTCGTGGGCAGATCTCTTCACGGTTGATGAGAGTTGTAGGCTTCACTACGAAGAACCAGATCTAGTCGATGGTGCTCTACATCTGCCGAAGGTCTTGCTGGACAAGGGTGCTGCTCGTTGGCAAAACTGTTTGGTAGGTCAATTCATCTCTGCTCCGACATCTCTCGTAGTCATTCGAAGCTGGGCGAACAAGCTATGGGGTAGAGAGGGGAAAATTAGGGTTTCCTGGTTTGGAGATACGCTTCTAGTATTTCAATTTCCGACTGCTTCGACTTGTTCTTGGGTTTTTCGAGGAGGCCTTTGGCATCTTTGGGGAAATAATTTGTTCTTGAGAAAATGGGAGAAAGGGATCTTGCCAGTCGCCCCTGAGAAGCCTGGCCTTCCGGTTTGGGTGAAGATCTCGGGTCTACCAATGGAATGTCTGTTACCAGAATGCTTGAGCAAGATGGTTAGTATGATTGGAAAGCCGTTCTGCTCCCAGGTTACAAGAACATCTGATCAACTGGGGTTTGCGAAATGCTGTGTTGAAATTACTGAGGAGTCAAAGTGCCCTAAGGAATTAAGACTTGTCCCAGATGAAGGTTCTCCTTTTTCAGCTGCTGTGGAGTACTTCAATTTACCTCTTGTTTATCAGAAGTGTCGTCGGTTTGGTCATGATTGTAGCAAAGAGGGCCCTGCAGTGCGAAGAGTGTGGGTTCCAAAGGTAAAGCAGGGAAGTCCTCAAGATACTGCTCATATAGAGACAGAGAATCTGCAGCATCAGGAGACTGAGAAACAGGGTGATCTTCAACAGCATAGTGAGGAGGAGTGTCTGAGGCTTGGGGTGTCAATGAAGGATATTGTTAAGGAAGTGGTAGGTACTGAAGGTTGTTTGTTGGATGTATCACAGGAGCAGGGGGTTGACAAGATTACTAAGCCAGAGCAGGTTGTGGATAAGTTGCCTACAGAAGAGGAATTTCAAGAAGTAATTCAGGGGAGAAGAATTGTCAGTCCTGCAATGGCTGCTAAACTTTCCAAAGGAAAAGCAGTAGTGGTATCCTTCTCAGGGGGTGATGGAAATATAGATATTAATGGGGAATTGATCCATCTCTAGTTGGCTTCGACTACATCACCAGTGGAAGGGGTAAGAAGGCAAAGGGTGGGGGTCGGTTTCCTAAAAAAAGATGATAGTATCTTCATGGAATATGAGAGGTTTTAATAGAACCTCAAAACATGAGTTTATTAGTAAGTTTCTGAGGTCTCAAAAGTTGGATATCATGGCAGTGCTAGAAACTAGAGTACAAAAGAGTAAAATGGGGAAAATTTGTACTGATCATTTCTCTGAATGGAAATATTTGGAGAATTATGATAAGTCCACTAATGGTAGGATATGGGTTTTCTATAAGCCGGATCTGCAAGTTACAGCTGAGATAATAGAGGAAAATTTTATGCATTTGAAGGTAAGGGGGAGTGTGGATTGTCAGATTACGATGGTGTATGGTTCTAATGATGAAGCAGTGAGGCGCCAAACTTATGCACAAATGAAGTTAATACAAGCCAGTAATGAGGCTTGGTTAGTCCTTGGGTATTACAACGCTATTCTTGCTGCTTCTGAAGCTTCAAATGGTACTCCTCCAGGGTCTAGTGGTCAGGATTTTCAGGACTGGATAGATGATATGCACCTAGAAGAACATAAAGTAGCAGGGGAATGCTTCACTTGGGTAAATAAGCAGTCTCGAAACCCAATAGCTCGAAAACTAGACAGAATCTTCATGAATTGCCATTGGCTTACAAAATTTCCAAGTAGTTTTGCTAGCACTATAACTCCAGGAACTCATTCAGACCACTGTGGTCTACTCTTGAACTCTTCTCCGAATCATAAGACATTACCTAAACCATTTAGGTTCTTTAATTTCTGGTGTGATCATCCTAGGTTCCAAGAAATATTGCAAGAAGTCTGGAGTACAAGGGTCTCTGGATATCCGTTTTTCAAAGTCTGCCATAAGTTGAGGTTACTGAAGAAAAATTTAAAGGAGTTCAATAAGGAATTCTACTCAGATATATCTTTAAGAGCTAGGAAAGCAGAAGAAGATTTGAAGGCTATTCAACATAAGGTTTTCAGTACTCCATCTCCACAGCTGTTTGAAGAAGAAACAAAGGCAGTAGCAGAGTGTATTTTGTATCAAAAAGCAGAAGAAGGGTTTTTTAAACAAAAAGCTAGGATTCAAGCTATAACAGAAGGAGATCATAACACTGCCTATTTTCATCAGTCATTAAGGGTGAGGCAACATAGGAATCATATACCTTTTCTTCAGAAGGAAGATGGCAGTATTGTCACTAATGTGGAGGATATTGGTAGGGTAGCAGTAGAATTCTACATGAAGTTGCTTGGGGAGAAAAACCAGGAAGTTCATTGCATTTCACTGGAGGAAATGGAGCAAATATTGGTAAATAAAGTGGAGGCTGTGGATACTGAGCATCTTTGCAGAAGTTTCTCAAAGGAGGAAATCAAATCTGCCTTGTTTGATATGGGAGCTAATAAGTCCCCTGGCCCTGATGGGTATACTGTAGAGTTCTACAAAGCAGCTTGGCCAGTAGTGGGTGATGACATCAC